TAAGTTTACGATCTTCCGAGTATGTGAGATGAGCCACTTTGAAAACTCACACTCTTGTTCTAAGTAACCGTCCCGCAAAGGACTGCGAGATGATCAGAGTATACTTTCCTATGATCCTTAATTTAATTATTCATAATACCTAAAGAAGCCCTGTATTTCAGAGTTAAATGTATAATTCCGGCCACCGTTTTTTTTTCTTTTTTTTTTTTTCTCCAAAATGTTTCCTGAGGCAATGTTATATCTTCCTCTTTATTCTACCCTTTTCTATTTCGTCCCCTTTGCCCCTCCGTGGGATCTGATAAAAAAATTTTTGCGAAGCCTAAATAAAGCTGCAGTTTTGATTTGCGATTTAATTTCAACAACGTACTATGCTGCTCCGAAGCTTCCAATATTCGCTTCATTTCACGTCTCGCTAAGCACTAAGCTAGGTGAAGGCTAGAAGTGGCTTTTGCACGCATTACGTATCTACCTTTCAGAAATCTATGTTCGTACCCATGTTCTCTCGGTCAGTTTAAGCTTGCCGAAGAGAAAGATATGATGTGAGTCAATGAAACTAAGCGTGTCAGATGTCCCATTTATTGGAAGGAAATTCCGTGATGGCTCCACAGATTTCTCCCAAGGATATTCCTCGAGGAGAAGAAACTTCTGATTCGGAAGAGGGCGAACCAGTGGCGCCAGTCATCTTGGAAACCTCCAGTAGTGACGATGAAGACAACATGGCGGAGGACGAGCATGACTTGAACCAGGGATACGTACAGTTAGCTCAAGACGACAACGAAGGGCAACAAACTCCAGATCAATGGTTATCTAATGTAAGTACTGTAGTTTATCTTTCGTAGATCAAAACATGTCAGCCTTGCAAGCTACAGCTGTATGCTACTATTTTAAGCTTACAATACATGTTTGTTGACATCAAGGAAGGGCCTCTTCAAAACACCAATGTTATTTCAGTAGTAGCAGAAAATTTCCAATGAAAGGAAGTCATCCTTTCAGGGAGTAACTTGTCTCCAGAAGGCTGGTTTTCCCTGTCACATAAGCTGAAGTACAAGCATAAAACTCACTTTGACCCAGGCTTCTTTGATAACATCGTAAACAATATGGCAGACTCTGCCTCTGAGCCATGCATTTATTTGACAAGAATAAGTTGGTATGGAGAATCCTGTTTATTCTGTGCTTGCGTATGTCATTCGTCTTACAAAAGCTAGTGCTCAGTTCCCCCATAGTCTCTAGAATCGCAAATTTATCAGTGATGTGTGAGTGGTATCAGAGTAACATCGATTAGTAACATCCCGATGTTACTAATCGAACTCAGTTGAACCCCCAATCACTCCATTGGGTTTGAACAGTCAATCTCTCACAAAAATTTTGAGCAATCGATCCCAATCAAATGCTCAATTGTGTTCAATTAGTTTCGATTGAGTTTGACTTGGGTTTGTTTAAGGTTTGATCGCATTCGATTTGAGGCTACATCCTTAATGTATGTGGCATGGTGATTGCAAAACAACAGTGGAGTTCGAATTTAAGGTTGGTCAGATTGCATATTTCAACTAGAAATGGGGGTATGATACAGTACATGTAGTAAAATCTATGTATTTTCCATGCCCAAAGGTTATTACAATAAAAATATACTGGCTAATTATTAATTTGTAGCTGCTTCTAAGACAGACTGTTAAAACTATCTGATTGTGTTCAACTGAATTTGATAGGGTTTGATTAGTTCAGAAATTGAATGCAATCAAACTCTCTCAGACAAATTTTTTGGTTCAATTAAATTTCGATTACTGGACAGTTTGATCAGTAACATTGGAATACTGTATCCTGGATAATATCAAACCTCCATATGTGAAGTCTGTAAGGATCATTGTTCTTTAGTAATTGACCGTTTTAAAGACCTTAATACTTAATTACATGTACATTGTATGGTTGTCCTACTGGCTACATGTAGATGTTGTAGGGTATACATGTAACTTTCCTTTGCTACTGTGCTGAGTCAGGAGGCACAGTGACGTAATGTCTAGTACACTGGACTCTGGATCAAATGGTCAGGGTTCGAGTCCTGGTCAAGATCATTGTGTTGTGTTCTTGGGCAAGACACTTTACTCTCACAGTACCTCTGTCCACCCGGGTGTAAAAATCGGTAAATGTGAATATGCTGAAGCATCTCATCCAGGTGGAGTAGAAATACTCTTACACGTGTAGTTACATCATGCAATGGAAACTGGGCTAAGTTCCTGTGGTACTAGGGTCCACTTGATCCAGGCCTTCTGATATTACGCGATGGTGCGATTTCGCACAATCGACCTTAAATCGCATCCGATCATACAATTCACAAAAAATCGCATAATTCACAAAAGAACGCACAAAATTCATAAAATAAAACATAAATCAACAAGTTTCTTCGGAATTCCTGCATAAATACGTCATTTTAAAGATGATTATCTTGGAAAAAGCCTAAAAACCTTTGTCACCTTCGATTTTGTAAACATTCAAAGCTGCAAGGCGTTATTTTGCATGTTGGGGGCCTGGTACGAGTCTTATTCTTAAAGAGTCGCCTATTGATGAAACACAAACACGCCCTTTGTTCAGATTAGCCAATCTGAATGGCTGATATATGCACGATCGCACTCGATGGAGTTTATACGTTTGATTGGAAATATGGTTTGTTAATTGTTAAACTGGAAATGGTTCGACATTTTTAACCAAATGGCTTGTTTTACTGGCTACATTCATCTGTGTAAACATTTGGTCATAGTATGTTTTCGTCACCTTGCAAACTTTAACCAGTGAGATTTTTGAAACATGTTGAAGAAAATTTTGTTCGCAGTCAACTTGTAAAGTAGAACCCCGCTAACTTGAGTCGGTTTACTCCAATTTCCCCTGGATTTGACCAAAAAATTTCAGTCGTGACTCCCCTTTGATTATCAACTACTGTCTACAGGGAGAAAGACTGTTT